CTTGTTTGATGGTTCTTAATGTTGTGCAATAGGAAGAACTCAGTTCCCTAAGGTCAAACTTGTTGTGGCGACTCATTACTCATGCAAGAAATACATAGTTGGCAGCTGTTGCACAACTATTTGCAAAGATACAGACACAACCAAAAGAAATTGAAGAGGGAACTATCAGCTCAAGATGTCTTTTATATTAGCAAAGGACATGTCAATTTTTTCGCACAAGAATTACCCACAATTTCATTTTCAGTGCAATGAACTATATATTATGTGTTTATTACATATCTAGTAATGATAATATATTTTCCCTCACAAATTTCATACTTTGAGTGCAAATGTTAACTACTAAAATCAAGAAATTTCCAATAATAATAGCTAAGTTTGCAACAGGGGCTTCTGTTTTTGCAAGTGGTTTTTTTTAAATATAACTGACTCATCACGCTAGAGTTTGTCAAGTGTGTTCACGATTGGGTTTAGACAATTTACAAAGAGCATTAGGAAATTGATAAAGCCCAATTTTTATACATTTTATCCCACATTAATTTAGGATTTAAATGATAATTTTGAGCTTAATTGGATTTTTATGCATTATTGGATAAATTGGTTGATTTTTGGATTTTGCATAAAAATTGAGATTTTGGATTGAAAATATGAATATTTTATGATTTCCTATTTTTGACTTGGAATTAATTTTTCTATTTCTTTGGAAAAAAGTCTCATATTTTTAGAAAGATTATTTTTAGAAAGTTTTGAAATTTCTTGCCTAATTTTTGTGCATATTTAATATTTAATTTTTGAATATATTTGGATATAATCTACATTAATGATTGCACTTAAATTCTTGTAGATCAAGAAAGAGTATATAGGAAATCTAATGGTGCAAAATTGTTTCTTGGGATTTAAACACAATCCAATAACTAATATCAAGTGGGTCAATTAATTACTAATAGGCTTAAGTTTTGGATCCACAAAAATTCCTTTTTCTCTCATTAAAATATTTTTCTTATTTGAGAGCAAGGACTCACGCCTAGCATCACTCTTTCCTTCTCCATTCATGCCAACGGACAATTGAACGCCCAGCACTCTCTTCATTCTCCCTTCAACACTATTTCTCTAGTCTCACGCCTTCTCTCATAATTCTTTCATTCCACTCCGCAGTCAAAAACTGAGCATCACGTCCTTTGATTTCAAGACTATTATTATCACCATATTCCATCATCATCTATTTAATCAATTGCTCCCATAACCTGAATCACCCACCTTGCGTCTCATGTCCATGAATTGCACCAAGAAACTTGGAGGGAAGATAATTTTCATGGCAGCTTAAGCTTGTTAGGGAGGCAACTTGGGAGGAGTATGGATGAGGCTTGAGCCTTGGACTAACGCTTGAAGACCACAAGAGAGTGATGTTCCATTTATCTTGTTAATTCAAAGACTTGAAATTATTTAGTTTTAAATAATTTTAAGTTGTATTTTTGTTGAGATAATTTAGTTCTAGATTGTCATTTTTATTCTTAGATTGGATTGATATTTGGATCTTATTTGTACTGAGATATTTGTTGGAATTTATGTTTAGAACCTTTGCATTGTTAATTGAATTTATAATTGAGTTTTCATTATGAGTTTAATTATCAATGTGGTTTGAATTGCAAAATGCCTCTTAATTATTTAATTAAGTTGGTTAATTATCTAATTGTTTAATTGGATAATTTCAAATATAATTTTCAGAACTAATTTGAGTTGTTTTCATTGGTTTTTAATAAGTTTAATTAACCAACCTTATATTGTTATGAGTTCTCTAATGATTTAGGGTTTTTGAAATTAAGGGTTTCCTTTATTTCAAGTAAGTAATTAAGTTTATTAATTCTACTCTCTTATTACCTCCCTTTGGTCTAATTAACTGATTAAAGTTATGAAGGTTAAATTCATACTGTAGAATACAGAATAATATGGAAAATAATTCTCTTGTTTTTCATTACTCAGAATATGCACATATATATACAAGTGGGAGGAGCCTTTGCATTAATAGCTCATTATGATAATATCATATCATATCCTAATCATAATTACATAATATTTACATAATATCATATCATATCTCTACACTCCCCCTCAAGTTGGAGCATAGATGTTAATCATGCCCAACTTGTTACACAGATAGTTAACACGAGTCCCATTTTAGAGCCTTAGTCAAAAGATCCCCTAATTGATCACTAGAGCGCACATATCCAGTAGAGATGAAGTTCTCTTTAAGCTTGTCTCTGATAAAGTGACAATCAATCTCAATATGTTTGGTACGTTCATGGAACACAGAATTAGAGGCTATATGTAGGGCAGCCTTATTGTCACACCACAACTTTGCTGGCAAAGTAGTTTTGAGGCCAACCTCCGTCAGTAACTGATATATCCAGATTATCTCACATACAGACTGTGCCATAGCCCGGTATTATGCCTCTGTGCTCGATCGGGACACCACATTTTGTTTCTTGCTTTTCCAGGATACCAGATTCCCGCCCACAAAGACACAGTATCCTGTAGTAGACCGTCTCGTGGCCTTTGATCCACCATGATCCGCATCACAGAAGCACTCAATGTCTGTATGACCATGATTTTTGTATAATATCCCACGACCTGGACATCCCTTCAAATAATGTAACACGTGTTCCAAGGCTTCCCACTGTCTGACAGTCGGGGATGCCATGAACTGGCTTAGTACACTAACTGAATAAGTAATATCCGGACGAGTTACAGTGAGATAGTTTAACTTGCCAATCATTCTCCTGTACCTCTCAGGATTCTCAAATGGTTTGCTCTTTTGAGCCTCAAGCATCCGTTTCTCATCATCAAGAGAGTCATCAGGTGGTATGCTCCCATCAGCGTCAAGGAGTGGGTTGTGAACCATAGGGAAATTAGTCGGTGCTGCTCCCAACTTCCCAGTTTCCTTTAGTAGGTCAAGGACATATTTGCGCTGTGTCAGTAATATGCCCTTCTTGCTTCTCATAACTTCAATACCTAGAAAGTATGTCAGAGAGCCCAGATCCTTCGTCTGAAAGTGGGAATTAAGAAAGGACTTGAGGGACGAGATGCCTGAACCATTACTGCCTGTGATCACAATGTCATCTACATATACCACCAAGAGAATCATGCCAGCCGCTGTTCTCTGATAAAATACAGAATGATCGCACTTGCTTTGGCTCATGCCAAATTTCTGTACAACAGTACTGAACCGGTCAAACCATGCACGAGGACTTTGCTTCAAACCATACAAGGACCTCTTAAGGCGACATACTTTCCCACACTCCCCCTGAGCAACGAACCCAGGTGGTTGCTCCATATAGACCTCTTCATGGAGATCCCATGCAAGAAGGCATTTTTAATGTCTAACTGATGTAAATCCCAATCATAAGTAGCAGCCAGAGAGATGAACAGACGAACAGATGAGAGCTTAGCAACAGGAGAAAAGGTTTCAGAATAGTCAATGCCATAGGTCTGTGCATAACCTTTAGCCACAAGGCGAGCCTTAAGGCGATCAAGTGTGCCGTCAGCCTTAGTTTTCGGAGTTAACACCCATTTACATCCAATGGCCTTTTTGCCTGCCGGTAAATCGACCAGGGTCCATGTATTTGCCCGATCAAGGGCCGCCATCTCCTCTTCCATTGCAGCACGCCAACCCGAGTGGGCCAAGGCTTCACGAATAGTTCTGGGCACAGAGATAGTATCTAGGGAGGCAACAAAGGAACTGGACACAGGAGACAAGTGGTCATAGGAAACAAAAGATGAAATAGGATGGGCACAAGTACGTTTACCTTTGCGAAGGGCAATGGGTAGATCAAGAGAGGCATCCGGGTCTGGAACAGGAGGTGTCTCAGGATTAGGGTCAGAACGAGGTTCAGTGGTGCTCAACTCAGGATCTGATGGCGAAGCGGACAAGGGAGGAATAGAAGCTGGCGTGGCGGTAGTAATCTCCTTTGACCGTCGTGCATACACATGATCAAATGGTTGAACGGGTGCGGGAGCGGGTGCTTGCGATGACGGTGATGGTGAAGTGACAGAGTACAATAGAATGTCATCCTCCTCCGCAGGTGGAGCAGGTGGGGAAGAACACGAGAAATATGGTGTGGACTCCTGAAAGGTGACATCTGCAGATACTAAATAACGATTGAGAGTAGGTGAGAAACAACGATAACCTTTTTGGACCCGGGAGTATCCAAGGAAGACACATTTAAGAGACTTGGGGTCTAACTTTGAAATAGATGGACGTACATCCCGCACAAAACAGACACACCCAAATATCTTAGGAGCAATAGGGAACAAAGGCTTAGAAGGAAAGAGGGTAGAAAAAGGAGAGTTACCATCAAGAACAGAGGAAGGCATTCGATTAATAAGAAAGCATGCAGTGGAGACCGCGTCAGCCCAAAATGGTTTAGGAACCTGCATTTGAAACAAAAGTGCACGTGCCACTTCAAGTAGGTGGCGATTTTTCCTTTCGGCAACACCATTTTGAGCTGGTGTATCAACACAAGACGATTGATGAAGTATACCATTTTGAAGCATGTAAGATTGGAACGAAGCAGAGAGATATTCTTTAGCATTATCACTTCGTAAGGTGCGAATAGAAACATTAAATTGAGTTTTAATCTCGGCACAAAAGGCACAAAAATGGGAAAACAATTCAGAACGATGTTTCATTAAATATAACCAAGTTGTTCGGGAATAATCATCAACAAATGTAACAAAGTATTTAAACCCTGCTTTGGACTCTACAGGACAAGGACCCCAAACATCAGAATGGACTAACTCAAAAGGGGATGAAACCCGTTTATTGACACGAGACACTAAGGGAAGACGATGATGCTTGGCAAACTGACATGACTCACAATCTAAAGACGACAAATGCTGAAATTGAGGATAAACTCTCTTAAGAGAAGATAAAGACAAATGACCCAATCGACAATGAACTTCAAAGGGAGAATGACTACTAGCGCAAGCCACCGCATGAGACACCCGATCATCCAATATATAGTGCCCGCCAGATTCATAACCTCTACCAATAATCCGCCTCGTCAAAAGATCCTGTATCAAGCAATGAGAAGGAAAAAGTGAGACCCAACAGTTTAGTTGACGGGTGAGTTTACTGGGAGATAGGAGATTGAAAGCAAGTTTAGGGACATTTAGCACAGATGACAAACGGATAGAGGGAGTGGGATTAACAGTGCCAGAACCGAGAACTTGAGACTGGGAACCATCAGCGATGGAAACACTTGACGGATTAGCAAAAGCATTATAAGAGGAGAAGAGATGGTGGTTACCTGTCATATGATCAGTAGCCCCGGAATCTATGATCCACTTTGAGGAAGAAGAAGCAAGGGCAGTAGCATTATTACCTGTTGTAGCCGCGGCACTCACAGACGGCGTAGCAGATTTTAACTGGGCATACTCAGCGGCAGAGATCGTGACTGTGTCACTGGCTTGTGTAGCCACATGGGCAGAGTTATTTCGTTGCTGTTTATTCTGAAGTTTTCGACATGTGCGTTTTGTATGCCCTGGTTCTTTGCAGTAATAACACACTACCCCACTGGAGTCAAAAGGGGCTCCCCCTTGCTTCGAACCACCACGGGTAGGCCCCCCGCGGTTATCACTGGGACTACGAGTCTCATAGGTGCCCTTACTGAGCAAGGCACTTGTAGGAATACTAGCAGCTGGTGGCAAGAGATTCTCAGCTCTCATTACTCTGGAAAACACATCTTGAAGGTCAGAAATCTCAGATCCGGATAAGATTTGAGAGCGAACTGTGTCGTACTCAGGTGGGAGACCAGTAAGAAAGCTCATAATAGCCATTTGCTCCCGTTGCTTATGCTGAACCTTTAAATCAGCAGTAAGTGGCATTAACACATTTAGCTCTTCATACATCCTCTTAAAGTCCATAAAGTAGGCTTTGAGAGGGCGATCCTGTTTCTCAGAACGATAGAAAGCTTTGCAGACCTCGTAAACACGAGAGATATTTCCTTTTCCTGAATACAAAAAATCTAAATAATCCATTAGTTCCTTAACCAATTCACAGTGATTAATAGAAGGAATAATCTCACTGTCAATGGAATTACGGATCTGGAAAAATAGCCGTGCATCATCCCACAACCAGGCCTTTTTTGAATCAATTGTTGGAGGATCATCGGTCAGATGGTCTTCCTTCTCAATACTTCGCAGATAGAGACGAATTGTTTTACTCCAATCCAAATAATTTACCCAAGTCAACTTATGATCAGTAATTTTAGTAACAGTTGGGACAAGCTCCGAGACAGATTTAATTTCAGCCATAGATGAAGTGCACTAACCAAAAGGAATGCGAAAGAGTGTCACACAGGGACACAAAGCACGATACCTGAATCACCTAATGAATACCCAAGTAGTGAAAAGGCCAACAGCTACACAGGGAGCTGCAAACAGAACCGAATTGCACAAAAAACGATGAACCGTACGGACGCTGGAGTGAACAGTACCGAAAAAATGATGAACAGTGCACCACGCCGTACTCACACCAAGGAAGTACCACAAACACGAAAGGAAGCGTCGGGAAGGGGGGTTACAAGCTCACACGGTAATGTTGGTACTGTAGCAACCGAAAATTACCATCCAAAAAAAAAATCTCACGCTCTGATACCATGTAGAATACAGAATAATATGGAAAATAATTCTCTTGTTTTTCATTGCTCAGAATATGCACATATATATACAAGTGGGAGGAGCCTTTGCATTAATGGCTCATTATGATAATATCATATCATATCATATCATATCATATCCTAATCATAATTACATAATATTTACATAATATCATATCATATCTCTACACATACGAATCCTAAGTTATCCCCTTACCTTACCGAAGAAAACTTCTTAATTTTTACTTGTTAATTTTCTTTGTTCTTTAGTCAATTTTCTTCATTTATCATTTTGATTTTTTTCTAAAAAAAATCCCTCCAAAAATTGCATTGCATTCATTTAAGTTTAATTTAATTTTCATATAGATTTTAGGACATTAGCATCTTGCATTTAGAATTAGAATTTTGTATTTTAGTTTAGGTCCAATTTATTGTGTTTTTTTTATCACCTAAATTTTTATCTAAAGAAACCCATAACTTGCTCCTTGGAAGTAATGACCTGGTCGATCCTAAACTACAAATTAATTAGGACCTAGTTTAATTGAGTGCTTTGATAACAAAAGCATCATCAAAAATTTAGAACAGGAACTCATGTATTTGTTAGTGGACTTATGTAATTGGTAACAAGAGTTAGGGAATGTGCTAAAATGATACGTGCGATACAACAAGAATTAGAAATTTTGCAAAAACAATACATTAATTAACAACAGAAATATATCCATTCACAGATGGACAAAATCTTTCATACATTTACAGTTTTACTGGTCAATTTTAGCGCAAAACTTGGGATAACTTGTCGTCACATATAGTCATGAAATATTTCAACTATCAATTTATTATACGAAAAAGATTACAACACATTACCAAATATGCCCACTTACTCTCCTATACTGTCTAACTATAATGTTTGTCTCAAGTCTTTCTCATTGTTTCCCACCACCAGTAGCTATTTATAATCCGTTACTACACATCATTTGACTATCAATTTCAATCAACTTTCAATAATTTTAAACAGTATGCGTTAACAACAGTAGTTTGTGGATTTACAACAGAAATACCGTTTTCATAACATTAAATTCTCATTTTCCTGAACAACTCTAATTTGTAAATTTACAATCCGAATACATATTTTCACAACTGCAAGTTACCATTTTTTGCACATTTCGTTTTCATGTCAGCCATTTCAACACATTCACCCATTTTCCTTTCAGTTCTCCCTTCTTGAGTTCCTTCAACAACATATTATAGTCAGTGTTCCTGCATTCTCACTCACTTTTTAAAAATCACTAACACCTTATGTTTATTAACTCTAAAGAAAAAGAAGATAATAATCTCTCTCTAAAGAAGAAGATAATAACCTCTCTCTAAATTTAAAAGCTATATTAGATTTTTTTTCTCCCTTACTATCTACTTACCCATACATTAAAATACTCATTTATACACTATTCAGCTATCACAACCCAACAATCAACTCAACAGAATAAAATTTTGAGAAAAATGTTTATCTCACGCTCGAAGCTGTTCTTTTTCCCTCTTTCTTCTTCCTTTTCCTTCTTTCTTCTTCCTTTTCAGCAGTTATAGTACGCAGGGCATTTTAGTAAAATGGCTTCAGCAATTAATTTCATTTTGCCCCCTGGGTTTTTCAGTAAAATTTCAGAATTCTTAACTGAAATTTCAGTTTTTTGGGGACTGTTTGAAATTAATTCCTATCTGCGGTCCTTAATCAAAATTTTCCCTTTTAAGTTTCTCACTCTGCTTTTTTTGTTTTTTTTTTTATACAGGGATTTTGAGTTTCGAGGGTTGGTATGGATTAAACTGGAAAAAAAAAAAGAAGAACTTGTAGACTGTAGTGGTGAGGGAACGGAAAATAAATGAATAATTGTAATATACCTGTTTTAGCGAAAATCCCATAGAAATCACTAAATTCCAAAATAGAAATTCTTATAAAAATATGTTTAGGTGTAGTTAGAACCTGTTAAAGTGTATGACATAATTTTGATTTAAAATTTACTAATTTTCAAGTTTCTTTCATGGGATTCCTTTTTTCTTTTGCTAAGACCATACCTTATTTTTGTGATTTAGTAAATAGAATAATTAGAAACTATTGAAGAAAATCATAGGCATGTTAGAAAAAAATGGGAAGACCAGCATCCAGAAGTGTTGTTGACTTAACATTCATGCTTTGTTTGAATGGGATGAAAAAGTTTAGACAAAAGAAAATAAGAGGAGAGAAAATAAAGACGATAGAAAACTGGAAAAAAAAATATTATTACTCATTCTATTTTCATAAATAAGAGAAAACAGAGAGAAAATAAAATGAACAAATATTCAAATCACTAAAATACCCTTCGATATAAAAATATATGTCATGTTTAAAATCAAATTAAATACCACAATGTGAAAAAAAATCATATAACATAAACATTACCAAATAATTTAAAATTAAATTATTTGATAAAGATATATTTTCATGTTGCTATATTTTAAAACTAGAAAATTTAGAAAAAAATGTTATTTTTAAGGTTAAAAAAATAAACGTCACATCTCGCATTTTTAGTTATTGAAAAGAGAAATTTGGAACTAACTGAAGGTAAAATTAGATAGAGAATATAGATGAGATAACTTTTGAAATGAAATTGTTATAGAGACCAAAATATAAATTTGAAGAGTTTTGGTCCGAAAAGGGTATTTTTGAAAAATATGTTCGAAATTCTTGAAAATTATGAGGAATTCATAAAAAACAGAAAGAAAGGCTTAGAGGAGTGTTTGAGGCCCAAAAAAGTAAAAATTTGATGAAAATAAATTATTAAAGAATTTTACTTAATGATGAAAAATTCTGGCTAAATTGGAAAAATTAGCCAAAATTAATTATATTATTGATGCTACCAAATATTAATAGACATCGCAAACGTACGGGCCATAAAAATAAAAAGTGACAAATCAAGGTCAATTCCACATAAAACTCAATTATAATTAGGTAATAAAAATATTTTTTTTGTTTAAGTTGAGAAAATTAAGATTGAAGTAGAATTAAGTGAAATAAAATTGAAATGAAGCAAAGCAAGAGTTACTAGTTAACAATTGCAAAAACACAAAAAGAACAACCCAAAGTTACTAGTTCATTGTTTGCTCTTTAGATTTTATCCCTACTAAATTAATTATACTTAAACTTAATTAGTTAATCTAGAGTCTTAATAGTTAAAAGTAATTGACAATCTATTTATAACTCTACATCAATTAATCATGTAATCTCTCGTACAATTATATAAGGTGCAATTTAATCTAATTTTACTCTAATTTGATTATGTATATGTCTATTTTAGGTGTTAATTAGATTAAATCCAATTCAACCTTACTTAATCCTATGCTCTATTTAAGATTCTCTTTGTCAAGTTTAATCCTAAATTTCCAAAACAATCTGAACGGTGGCCAAACACAAAGCAAGTTATAATTAAAAACAAGATTAAGTAAACTAAATTAAAATCAAGTATAACTAAACAGTGGGAATAATCATAATTAAATGGTAGGAATAATCAATAAGTCAGAGACAACTCCATAGTTCCTCTGGGTGGCATAACATGACTTCGAACAAAACCATCTCAACAACAATAAAATTCGGATTCAAAATCATGATGGAGAGGAAGAAGAATTGACAATGAAACACTGAAACAGAAGAACAAGTTGCAATGCACTCTCCTCTGGCCTTTCGACTATCAAAGAAGAACTCTCCTCTGGTTCCCACTCAAATCACGTTCACCTCTGGTTCCAGTCACGAATCCTCGTCCCCTCTTCTCTTAGCACAGTCCGCTAGCATCCCTGGCTCTAGATTGGAGACGGCGGCGTCTTTGTCAGCTTCTTGCTTCAGGTCGATGGAGAAGACGATGAGTCCTTCTCTCCCTTTCTAGCTCGCCTGCGTTTCTGGTTCCGGATTCAAGAAGAAAAGATGACCATGGAAGTGGATGATGAACAGTGACCGGCCTACCCCGCAAGCTTCCGCCACGCCGATGATAATAATTTCCTTCAAATCAACCCTTCCGTTCCCTCTCTTCTTCCCAAAACGGTGCGTTTGATCTCTTCCTCCCGGTACTCCTCTTGTGAGCACGTGTGAGCGGATGGAAGAGAGAAAATAAAATAAAACAAATAAAAAGGAAAAGCAGAAAAAATAAAATAAAAGAAAACAAAATAAACTATAAGAAATTGAAATAAGATGAGATAAAATCAACT